CCCCCCCCCAGAAGGGGGTGGGGGGGCCCCCCCCCCTTTTTTTTCCCCCCCCCCTTTTTTTCCATGATGGGGGGGGCAAATTTGGGGGAGCCCACCTTAACCCCCCCCGACAGGGGCGGCCCAAAAAGGGGGGTTGGCAGGAACCCCAAAAAAAAATTTTTTGGGTTTTAAGAAAGGGGGTTTTCCCCCCCCCGGCTGGCCCCGCGGGGGGTTTTAAAAAAACAACCCCCCCAAAGGGGTTTTTGCGGCGGTATGGGGGGGGGGGGGGGGGGGGGGGGGGTACTGAAGTGTTAATGTAGGCATGCAGAGGGGGTGCTGCAGGGTGCGGGGTGTGTGGGGTGATGTGATCATGCCTTCGCTTCAGGAGAAAACCAGACAGCCATAAACTCCCTCATACTGATGTGTTAATGTTTGTAGGCAGACAGAGGGGGTGCCGCAGCGTGCGCGCGGGGGGGGGGGTGATCATGCCTTCGCTTCAGGAAAGAACCAGACAGCAACAAACTCCCTCACACAGACCGACCAAAGAAATAAGCAACGGCAAGCGAGAGTTGCGAATCGATCGGCCTGTTCGGCAGGCCTCCTCACCCCAGTAGCGTTCGCCGGTCCTTTCTATCAAGCAAACATGTTCTTGGATAAAGCATGCAATCCGGGGAACTTGGGTTAGGGTAAGGGTTAGGGAATAGGGTCTGCGTACCCCCTTCCTGTCCTGTTTCCTCATACGGTAGTGAACGGGCCTCAAGAACGCCCAATGACTACTGTATAGCACCATTTTTAGCCCTGTACATATACAACGCCCGTGAAATTGCGGGGCTACAGATTCAATCGACGAGTCATTCTTGTACATATGCATATGAATAGCGCCGGTCGGTGCGTCGGGCACGTGCGGCAGTCGTTGAGGGCCCCCTACAGTCGACTTAGTTTCTCGCCAATGCGGTCGGTCCCCTCACCCGCTTGTCCATGAAGAGGTCCAGGACGGCGCCTCGCGAGTGAGCGCTGGTGTGGCTTGTTCTCTGCGCGCTCGAGGCCTCCAGAATGTGGTCGATCTCGATCTTTTTTTAAATATTGATTTTTGTGATTCGTATCGAAATCAAATCCCCGCCAACGCACAAGCGCAGAATGCGAACCGGCACAAAATGAGAGAGAGAGAGAGAGAGAGAGAGAGAGAGAGAGAGAGAGAGAGAGAGAGAGAGAGAGAGAGAGAGAGAGAGAGAGAGAAGGAGGATAAATCAAGGCAAGAGAACTTAACATGCATGCTACATGACGGGAGATGCGAAGGCGGAGAGCGAGAGGATTACATGGGCACGGAAGGTCATGGCCGACTATCGATCCTTGTCCTAGCGAGAGGACCCGACAAATCAGACCTTCCGTGGCTCGTCCTCCCCGAACCATACCGTTCTTTCCACTAGAGTCGTGGCAACTGTCTCGCTTACTGCCCTGCCGTCCAACAAAAAACTTCTCCTGGCACGCTACAGTATTACGCAACAGAGTGGAACAAATGCGCCTGCAGCGGGGGGTGGGGGCAAACAAACCAAACAAACAAGCAGAGCTCCTACAGATACGAACTTGGCGGTTGAGCCTTGCCCTGATTGAGCAGAGGTGATGCAAAATTTGAAGGAAAACCAGAGGGCCGCAGAATGGCCGAACGCAAAACCTTTCCATGCTCTGCCCATGCGGCGCGTATTTGCTGACGCGAAAAACGCTGAAATCTTACAAAAAATTGGTAGAGTGACAGCCGTCGCTTGACGGATATTTCAGACGTGAGACCTCGTGACCTCATTTGGTGCCCGCGGTGTGCGGATTTCCACACTGCTATCAGGTGGTCAAGCAAGCACCACCAAAAGTCTGCCACAACCACGGGAAGCGGCAGGGGGGGTACCGCAAGTTCGAGCTCCGACGATGTTTACTGACCTGAATATCGTTGTCATCCGTGAGTCCCCTGAGCTTGCCGATGGCAAGCCTTGCCTCCATGGAGTACTGGTCTTTCGCCAGGAGCCACCTGAGCATTGAATTCGGGGGAGGGGAGACATGTGAGTTTCCGCGAGTGTAGCCACCCCAAGGTGCGAGGGAAAAGCGTCGACGGTCACTTCACCCCCACAGGGATCGAAATACCTCCCGTCTCCACGACGAACACAACATGCGTGCCACGATAACAGATAGGAAGCACCCTTTGATGCCCGGAAGAAACTTCGTCCACCGTTCTACAACCAGAGACGACTACATCAGGGATGCACACGCGGGGCTAACCACGAAGCCAGAGGCGAATGGCATGAAGCCAAGCGACGGGGGAGGAGCGCCGTCTTCCTTGCGGGTCTAAACGTCTCATGGTTGCCCCCGTCCGCACGCGTGGTGCTACCATACGCCACCTGCCTACTGCTGTACCCGCCGAGACTGTCGCCTGTGCATGTCCGTGTCTTCCCCGACCTTTCGAAACAGAGGGCTGTCTGTCAGCACCGCCAAAGCCACCCCCGACGACAATACCCCCCCCCCCCCCTGGTAAAACAGGAAAAAAAGACTGGGCAACGGTCCTGCGGGCACAACGCTCCCTCCCCTCGAGGACGCCCCGGATAATCACCGCCTAACCGCTACAACGGCATGCGAAACACGCCAACCCTTCTTTCGGATCTCACCTAAGGCTTTCCAATATGAAAGGGATGCACACAAGCTCCACGAGGGCCAGGAACGGCGTCACGGCGAACATCCAGCGCCAGCCGGAGGGGGTGGCGAGGGGGAACGCCAGCAGGTTGGAACCGAGGATCCCGATCACCAGCGCGAACTGCGTCATCGTGCCGAGGGTACCCCGCAGAGTTGGCGGCGCGAGCTCCCCGAGGTATATGGGCACGACCACGGAAGAGAAACTGTTCCGTTTTCAATTGACGAGCATTTCGGTGGGCGGGTTATTGGGGTACAAAACGCCGGGGTGGGGGTGTGGGGGAGGTGTACTCATGTAAAAGTATACCGTTATCGCTAGACCGGCCCAGACGGGGGCGAGGGGAGGGGGGGGGGTACTGGTGAAGGCAAGCGATGGAGGCAACGACATGAACGGCAGGCGTGCTTGCCAAAGCAAACGTACGTCACGTCCTGCATGGCGTGCGGAAAAGTACGTGGCGCGAGCTCCCGGGCGGGCACGGAAAAGAATGCACACACACCAAACTCGTCCGGAGGCTGAGTCCTTCCGTTCAGTCTATTCCGCGGAACCACCCTCGGGGGGCGGGGACTCAGCACACACATTTACACAGTTCACGCCGTTGAGACCGACGCCTCTTGCATGAACAGCGGGGATCGGGATGGTCGACGTCAGCCAAACTTTGCCCCGACCCGCACTACAATGAACAATATCGCAATAATCAGCCGGTCAGCGTGGCGGTGGATTTCATTGATCTAAGCAACCAACAGGCCCGGCCGACGTACGTTGCACGCACACGCAAGGACTCACCATACGCCAACACAAACAATAATAACCAACCCTCGCGCGCCTCCACGGGGTCCCAGACCATGGCCTGTTCAGCATTCAACCGCACTGAGACTGACGTCTAATCAACGGTCAGCCGATTAGCGCGATCGATGCCAAACCACAAAAAAACACACACACACAAACACGCACCCGCAGGCGAAACCGATCATGAAGCGCGCAGGCACAAGCCAGAGCACGGTCGGCGCAAGCGCGAACAGCAGGCCCCCGATGAGGTACATCCACGTGTTGACGATGATGGCCCCCCTCCGCCCGTTTCGGTTCGAGACCGTTCCGGCCAGGATCGCGCCGAACGGCCCGCCGATGGCGAACACCGAAACGGCGAGCGACCACTCCGTCGTCGTGTGTCCGGGGAACACCACCTCCTCTGGGGCATTCTGAACAAAAAAATACAGGGGGGGGGGGGGGAGGTTGCATGCCTTCGCGGTTAGACCATTGACCACGCCTGCTCGAGAGGACGGAGCATTGTTCCCGAAGGGGTCGAACTCAGGTGATGCGTCTTCAAAGCACTATTATAGCAGAACTTCCACTTCTCTGCGGTATTATCTCGAAACGGGTAGGCTTTCAGTGGTTGGATGAACATTAACACTTCAAAAGACACGCATTGTGCAGTTCTGGCACGAGGCCAGCGTGCAGCTTCCGAAGCCTCCGAAACATGCTACGCCTTGCATGCTAAAAACAGCAGTGCCGGCCTCGGGCAGGCATGGACGGCATCTGCGGGGCTAACAGTGTGCACAGAACCACGCGTCTCAACTCATTCTCCATTTGGGATGTAAGCAGCAGAGGGGCACACCTCCCCCATTGTTGTCCTGTCTGTTTGCCCCCCCCCCGCCCCCTCCCAGCTCGCCCTTTCTTTCTCTCCCGCATCCCCATACCCCGTTCGCTACTAAAGATACTGGATGGGGAACCCCGGTGGCACACAACCAAAAGGTACGGCCGAGAACGCCTAGAAAAAAAAAGTAGGCCATGTGTCCATATCTCTCTGACCTATCTACCCCTTGGTGGTCTGCTTCTCTCTGTCTCCACGTCCGCCCCTTCCTCAGGACCGCTTTTGCGAGGATGTTGATGTCATTCTACATAATCAAACACGAAATATCCTCAATATCCTCAAGAAATGCTACCGGCTCCTTCCTTACCATGACCCCGATGTTGAAGCCTACAAGGAACTCGAGGAGGACGGCCACGAGCACCGCGGTGACGAGCGGCCAGGTCACCACCACCTCATCCTCCACCCCCTCTGCTTCAGCCCCCTCCAGGTACTTGGCCTGTCCCGCGATGTCCAGGTCCGTGAGGCTCAGCTTGGAGAGAGACTTCGCGATGCTCTTCTCGCGGTACTGCATTCCGTACACGCTGATGGCACGGGGAGGGGGTGGGGGGTGGGGGGGGGGGTGGGGGGGTACTCATAGTCGTGCATGCCGCAGTCGTTAGACCATTGACCTCGCATCCCTACAAAGCCGGGACGGAGCACGCCGGGTTCTCACCGGACCAGGCTCTCACATCACCAAGCGCGAAGCGCCGTGAGGTATTCGGCGAGTCGCATGAAGGGTGCGCTGCATCCTGCTAAGGGTGTTCGTCATCTTGTGCTTACTTCCTTGCGTACGAATGGCAGCTGAATATGACTTAATTTATTTTCTGGCGCTTTCACTTCCAGAGACAGTTGTAAGCGCGTTGCAACTGAATCGAGGGTGCTTGGCCAATTTAACACAACGTGCGATTATCCCCCTTGCGCGGAGTGAGGGTTCTCGACCCCGCACAACATTATCTACTCGACCACCATTCATGGTTACCGCAAAAAAAAAAAACAAAGGCAAAAAAAAAAGCGGTAACCTGGTTGCCGAGCTCAAGAAGTGAATCGGCTTGTCTTACAACATCGCTGCCAAGCGACGAAAACCCAACCCCGATGGCAAACACCGGGGGGGGGATCACAATCGGCACCTTCGGCAAGTTTCGTCAAGGTACACGGGGTGGATTCTGAGCCCTTCGATGTAAGACGAGCCACACCCCATAAAAGTCGCTCGGTATGATGATTTGCAGGCCTTATCTGTTAGACCATTGACCACGCTTTCTAGAAAGGACGGAGCATTGGTCCCACAGGACCGATTACCGATGGCCAATCGTTCCTTCCCACTGTGCCAAGGGCGGCTCAAAACTGTTTTTCTGTCCCAAGGTACATAGCTACAGAGTCTTCTTCTGGCTATTCCATGCCTCAAACATTCTCTCTGTACCTTCCTTATATTTTTACTTGCTCAGCCATGTACATTTCTCTCTCCCTTTCGTAAAACAGACATTCTGCAACTATTACACTGGGAGAGGGTTGAGGATTGTATTCGTTTGCTGGTCAAAGCTGGCTCATTGTGCACGGAGACGCGCGTTCGAGTCCTTCCCTTCCTATCCTGCTGCCGTTCCTTATAGGTTGTCTTTCTACGAGAAGCGGTACGGCCCTAGGGACCGAACAGTCATCACGTCACGCCTTTCTTGTCGGAGGAGAGGGAGGAGGAGGCTTTCAACGGGTACGGGACAGCAGCAGTCGGTCAGGGTCAGGGCGGTCTATTCTCTCGACAAAACTACAAAAAGCCACGTCTTTCGAATTGAAGGACGGGCGAACTTGGTTTTATCCCGTGACAAGGGGAAATCTTCTCGATAAGATACGAACGTTTCCACAGGGAAAGGACGCGGAGGAGATCACATGAACGCGAGTAAGACGTGGTAGGGTGTATTTTCGCACAAGAGGTTGTAATTTCGCGCTCTAGAGGTTCATGCGCCATGTCCGAAAAGTTAGCGTATTATGCCAGCTGGTACGGGCGAGGAAAAGGGATGATGTTCGCAGCACAATCGGTCCAGACACACAGGTAAATTGCAAGCTAAATCCAACAAAGGCGCCATGCTTTCTAGAAATACATGCAAAAGCACCACGTGGTATGTATATCTACACCAGCAGTACCACCAATGGAGGACTACTGCAAAGCATTCGTCTTTGAGCTTTTAGTCAGATCAACGGTCTGGACACAGCAGCAGCCCAGTCGCCCGTCGTATACGCTACTTGTAGTTGATTGCTTCAGGATGGGAATCGCACTACGTGCAGCAGTACCCGGCCCCCTGTTTTACTAAGAATACCGCTGCTGTGTGCAGCAGGCAATTGCTGTGTGACATGTTGGAAATCGGAGTATTATTTTGACAATAAATATGGGATCCGAGGTTGGCACTTCACTTAAGTTGTATTTATTTCTGAATAGTGGCCTACAGCAATATGTTACTCTGCCCTTAGAGGTGGTGACACAGGTATATGCAGCAAGAAACTCAGGTCGAGCCTTTCGGTTTCCCAACCGCGCGGGCTTGCACAATTAGACGGCGAGCCAAAAGTCATGTCGAAGCGTGATGCACACATGTTCACGCCCGGATGTGCCACAGAGTGCGGATGCCCATATTGCGGAGAATGAGGTTAAGTGCGTACCCGCACCGATGCCCCCCACCCCCCCGCATTCTGTGGAGGTCTTTCAATTGATTGCATGATGACGACGCTGCAACAGCAGCAGCTGGGCTCACACAAAGCAGCCTTCCGCCAAACCATTCACAAACACCAGCCCAAAAACTGCTGCGAAAGTGGCGAGTTCGGCCACACGGCGGTGCTGAGTTGTCGGAAAATAGCTACTAATAGACAGAATACAGGAGCACCTCGCGAAATAGTGCGACAGTACCGCTGCCCCCATCCCCGCTCAGATCCACACAATCCCTCTTTGAGCGCCCAGTACTTTGGTGCTGTATTCTGTTCCAACGAATACGTGAGCCTCTGCAGCGTGATGTAAATGCCTTGCATGAGAGATGCATTGGCGGCGTTCTAAATAGAACAGCAGGAGCAATAATTCAAACAATACAGGTAGTCTAGCAGCACACACATAGTCCCTTTGTCGCCGCCGAGCCTGAAGGAGCGTTGGTTGCTAGTGTTGTTGGTTGCACTCAACACAAGCCGCCAACGCCAGCGGCAACCCCTGTGCTCACGTGTTGCCAGATCATGAAACATGCGCAACAACCATTAAGAGCAGCTAGCCCACGCCTGTGTTGCCTCTAAGACGACGGCGCATCGACAACACTTTCTCTAGACGTGACGATCCCCCGGCACCTGCCCTTACCTGAAGAACGGGAGGTTCACGTAGAGAGCGCGGCGGTTGCGCTGCTGCGGGTTGAGGTTGCTGGCCGCGATCCCGGGGCCAACGGAGGAGCTCCGGTTAAACTTGGCGTGGTTCCCGCCGGCCGCATCCCCCACGAGCTGGTTAATGTTGGGCGTGCTCATGACGCTCCCGTACCGCTTCGAGGTGACCAGGGGGTCATCTTCCGCGGTGGGCATGGTGGCGCTCTTCTCTCTTTTCTCTGCACCCCGCTCCAACGCTGCGGTGAGTGCACCGGCAGAGGTTGCGACAGCAAAAGCCTTGTGTGTGATCCACGGCGCCTACTGACAGCGTCTGCAGCCTGCTCCGTCACCTGCTGGATCAACTATTGTTCTTGGAAAACCACCATAGGTGCTGCTGCTGTGCTGGCGTGCTTTGCCCCAATCACAATTCACCCCGCATTCGTGCGGCTCCGCGGTTCGCCGGTGCATTCTAACGGTATACCCCGAGATCATTCCGCGGGACCACCTTCTTGCGCCGAACCTTGTTGGGGTCGGTCTTTGTCTGTGCGGCGTGTCGTTTGTGAACACTCGCGAATTATCTCGGGGCATTGGTGGACCCTGCTGCTGCAACGGAGAACACTGATCGAGATCCGGGAGAAAAGGGGAGAGCGTTATAAGTTGAGCCGGAGCGGGAAGCCCGGTCAGACAACGGCGGTGAGGGGGAGAGAGAACAAAACAACACGCACGGAATTCTGCGAGATCACTCTCCCTTGAGGGCTTCATCGGCGCGTTCGAGAAAGCAGCATCATGGACAAGCTCAGTCAACTCACCCTGGACAAGCTGTCGCTGGACAAGGTCAAGAACATGGTCGGCGAAGTGTGAGTTGAACTGCCTGTCGTTGTGCCGCTCTTGCGTTCTGAGTACATGGTGCGAACAGCACAAACAAGAGAAATGGAACTCGCCCGAGATTTTCCGTGCTCAGGCGGCTTGTTGTCCCTCCCCCTCCTGTGGGTGCTGTGTGATATGTGCAGCCCTTGAGAACATCATGCACGAGCAGACACCCCAATGGCCTGCATACGTGGGATCGTGTTTGCGCCAGACGAGAAGAGGGCAGTCCACTGTGGGTCGTCCTGGGGAGGAATAGTGCGTGTCTCTAGAACGTTTTTCGCGTGATGCACCCTCGTCTGTAATACAATCTCTCGCTTTCGGAACGTCCGGTGGCGAAGAATTTCCCCGTCCGCCCCAGCGAGCACCGTCCAGCACAGATATTCATGTCCCATGTGTTGCGGTTGGTGCCATGTGAAAATTCGGTCGGTTTGTGTAGCACAGCTGTTTGCCGAGCTTATGGTGATAGACAAGTGCATCCAAGCTGGCCGCGTTAGCACGAGCGTCTATATATTGTGTTCACCGCTGTGCGGTGTAGGACAGGTACACAAGAAGACCAGATGCGACATTCAGGATGTGTTGCGGGGAGACAGCAGACTGCTCGGCTGTGGCTTTACTAATTGGACGTGTGTGCGTTCATGGAACACAACCAACAGCAGCAGCGGTGGAAGGCAGAATTTTTAATGTTCATGTGCGCCAAGCGTCGAAGCAATTTATTTTTGCTCGACTTCCGCGCACTATAACTAGAACTAGAGTTTCGCCGGGTCTCCTTTGGTCAGACACGCGTAGGTAGCTCTTCAATTTTTGCGCGCACATCACCGGTCTAGGCATGTCCAGCAGTAGTATCGAATGTTGCCAAGGTTGCGAAAGGTGCGACGTGGACTGGACAGATCTTCAATGGTCGATTAGTCTGCAACAAAAACGGCGGCTGTACCGAAAAATGGCGCGTTGGATCCGTCTCGTCGACAACCTGTCCGCCAACGCCTCATTTTTGGGGTGGCCAGCCTCATCGTGTTGGGAGTGCGTTAGATATTACAACCCCCGGATCAATTTTCAGAACTCGATTCCTCGACAGGCACAGCGGCGACGGTGCCGAAAATGGCGGCGTTAGAAACCCTTCGTCGAGAGGTTTCCGAAAACGCACCACGTGATTTCGGCATCCTCTTCGTCGTCAGGAGTAATCGAGCTTTGGAAATGGGTCCAGGGGGTGTTGTATCTTACGCAACCTACGCTATGTACCAGAGTTTGAAGAATCGGTCCAGAGAGTGTGATATCTTGCGCAACGTGCGGTAGTCACCGGAGGTGTGCACACGGCCCCGCGTTCCTTTCAGTGCAAGCAAAGGGTTTTGTTTTGTCCATATTTCGTGCCATCCAGCACATCGGAAATTAATTCAAGAGCAGCCCAGCAACATGCGAGGAAACTACCGGTGGCAGAAAACAAACCGCCCTGTCTTTTTTTTGTTTCACTCCAGAAGCATGGGCAATCTTCCCCGTGTGTGGTTGTTGGTTTTAACATCGTTTTGATGGCTTCCTCCCGTTTCACACCCCGCAACCCTTCACACGACAACAGTGGGGCTCCTGATGAGTCACCCCTCAGCAATCCGCTACGACCCTCCCTGTGATTCGTTTAGTTGTGCCGCCTTCGCGCAATAAATAAGTTTATGAGGAAATAGAACAGAGGGGTGACGCAGACCTATTTCCCTAACCCTGACCCTAAACCAAATTCCCCGATTGTATGCTTTATCCAACATGTTTACTTTGGTTTAGTTTTGCGTGCTTGTTTCCAATCGTTCGTGTGTTTGATCATTTGTGGTATCGCTTTTCTATTTGGTTATTTTTTCCCATAGTTCCACAGCTCTTTGCGAGTCTGACACCCCGCTTGGGTTATTGGTGTTCGTGTGATTTGTGTGCATTCTGACAAGGTGTTCTTGTCTTTTCACAGTTCTTTGAGGTATGTATCCGTTCTGTTATCTATTTTTCGCCGCACAACATCGCACATTTAGCCATGAATTACCACTCCTTCGCGTGCGAAAATTATCTCAGCATCAAACTGGTGATAACATGTGCGTGGCGTCCTTTGGGTGTACGAAGCACGTATTTATATCACACGGGTGACACAAGATACCCCCCCCCCCTACGCAGCAACACCACACACGGACGGTGCGACATTTTTTGCGATCTCAAACTGTTCCAACACCAGTGGTACTGCTGTAGTCGCTTATACAACCCACGGTACAGCAGGAGATGATGATGGCGCAACGGGGTCGCTGCGCTCGAGTGCTCCTCTGCATGCGCGAGACCAAAGTCCCGACTCATCATTCCATCCCCATTACTCATCCCCCCCCCCCCCCT